AACACCATCAACCTCAACACCAGCAGAACCAGTAGGTACAACCACCTCGGCAGGTACCACGATAGAATGCCAGATTAAATCAGAATGGTAACTAGAACCCGGCCCCAACCTAGGTTTCCAGTCAAGTCCAGGTCTCCAACCGAGTCCCTGAACTAGTTCACAACCAACCTCTGGTTGACAACGTAGTCCCCAACCAAAATCAAAACCAGTTATCGGTGGAAAATCAAGCTACAACTCCCACTGGAACAGAGGCTGCCAGCTCATCCGAGGGTTCCAAGAGAAGGAGCCAAAGATGTACTCATCACGCCACAAAGAAGAGTCAGCTCACTCCGGCTAGAAGCATGATGGGCAAAAAGGCAAAAAGGAAAGTGGCTAGCCAAGTAGGCGCTTCATCTGAACAACCTCTCATAACTCGAGAGTTTCTACTTGCACCGAAAATCCTCCAGGCCTTGAGGTCGAAGAACTTCAGAGCACCAACCTTCGAGATCTATAGAGGTGCAACAGACCTAGTTGATCACGTCGACGGCTTTCAAGCGCTAATGCTGCTTCACACGGCCAATGACGCCAACATGTGCATAGCTTTCCCCATCACCCTTCGAGATGAAGCTTGACTTTGGTATTCAGGATTGGCCCCTGGTTCCATAAAGAATCGGAACTAGCTCACCAACTTGTTCATCACTCACTTTGCGATAAGCAAAAACATTCCAAGTCTATGACCTGCCTACTTAATGTAATACAAAAACTTAATGAAACACTCCAGAACTATATAAAAAATTCAACATGGAACGTCTACAAATCCCAGACTTGAACATAGTCGTACAGCTCACGCGACCAAGAATGGCGTACAACACCCCACCTACACTGGGAGATAGAACTGAACCCTCTGGCCACTATGGAAGAATTCCTCAACGTGGAGAATAAATTCATAAAAGAGAAAGAAGCACTAGGATTGCAGTCTGAGCTGTCTAGTAAGAGGAAGAGAGTTGAAGAGGAGGCAGACAACAACAAATCAAAGAGGAGAAGTAAGTCTCCCAAAAGAAGCAGGTCACCAAGAATGAAATCTCACTCCTACTGATTCCAATTCTCATTCCCATTCATGTCTGAATCAAATAGATTATGGGAATAGCCCATTCCAATTTTGATTCTGATTCCAATTGCGAACCAAAGGGACCCTTATTATCTGTGATTTGTACAAAAATTCTTTAATTCCATTATAATATGCTTGAACTTTTTCTAATCCACTGCTCTGCACAAAAGACTACTATCTTACTTTGTATTGCCTTTAAATGATACCAACATTTTTGGCATCTAACCAGTCAAATGAACGAAAGTCCCACCTCCCATTATGTGTGTCACTTATTATGTAAGCTATCTTGGCTTTTACTGCTCTAAGCTCCCAAACTCCTTGGTGACCTCGTTTGAGCTATCTCTACTTAGGCCTTGTCTGACCCCTTGCCACATACTTACTAACTTGACCATTGGAGCCTTCGCCCCTAGGATAACACCCGGGGGCCTCTAACATGTTCCCTTGCTCACAGGTCATACATTGAAGCCCTTAGATCCATCAACCCTCGGACTCAACTAGCCCTCCTCTACTGAAAGTACTTCGTCGTCGCAATTGACTATTTCACCAAGTGGGTCGAAACTGAACCCTTGGCCACCATCACGGCCAACATGATCCAGAATTTCTTTTGGAAAAACATAATTTGTCACTTCGGAATCCCCCACATGTTTGTCACTAACAACAACAAGAAATTCGATGATGCTAGGTTTAGAGAATAGTGTGCCAGCCTCAGCATCAAGTAGTAGTACACCTCGGTAGGCTACCCCCAAATCAACAGCCAAGACGAGGTCACCAATAGAACTATCTTGGATGGGCTGAAGACAAGGCTAGATAGAGCCAAGGGCCTCTGGAACGACTAGTTATACAATGCATTATATGGGCTTACAAGATGACACCTCGAACTGCCACGAGTGAGGCCCCGTTCAACTTGACTTATGGAATCGATGTTGTCATTCTAGTAGAGATCGACCAACCAATGCTTTGAATCGAGACATACAATGAAGCCAAGAATGATGAAAAACTTAGAAATAATTTGGACATGTTGGAGGCATCCGAGAGCAAGCTCAACTCAGGGTTGCGGCCTATCAGTAAAGGGTCGCTCACTACTACAACTCTCGGCCCCAACTAGGAAGGTCCCTACAAAATCAAGCAGGTTGTCGGCCCTGGCACCTTTCGGCTAAAATACTTGAATGGAAGACCGGTTCCTCATACTTGGAACTCCGAGAACATCTGAATGTACTACCAATGAGATGTAATCTTTTAAAGGCTTATCAATGAATAGTGCAATGTTCTTCCCCCCTCAACTTCAGCTTTAGTGTAAACATTCTAACTGCGCTCAACTGCCAGGACCCCGCGGCTATGCGACTAGCCGAAGCATACAACCTACACCAAGGTTATATGCTCAGATTGGACGACAGCCATGACACGCAACTCTCAGTAAGTCATATGCCTACTTGCCCTTTTCGCTAAGACAGAGTACCTCGAGAACCTCGGCTATGGTAACGGCCAAAGACTTCGACCCACTACCCAATGAACAAACACACTAAAATGGACAAGTTTCTTCACTAAAACAGGAAGCACCTTGTGACCTCGGCCAGGCATGTCCCCATGGCCTCAGCTGACCATAGGTTCACACCCCAGGTCCCCAAGGAAGGTTGAGTCATGCAAGTTAAGGCATGCGCCTCACTCCGAATCCCCAACAGCATAACTTGGCCTCAGTCTAGCTACCTTGACGGGGATAAACAAGCCAGGAGGGCATTTTCCTCCCTTTCCTTCCTACTAAGGAAAGGGGCCCCAAGCCTTCGGCGGTGCATCTCAACCTCAACCTAACGCACTTAACTTTCTTTCCTAAGCGAATGTCTAAGTAAAAAGCCACTACCTTTTTCGCTACTTGTGACCTCTCGGAAGGGGGCATCAGCCCCTAACGCCAAAAAAAAGAAAAAAGAAAAATACAAGTAG